AAATATTCGAATACAATTGATTCTTTGCAATTAATTTTAACTATTTTATTTGTTAACAATAGTAAAATTTTTTTTTTTTAAAAGAATATTTTATTTTTTTTTAAGGCGCCATATATAAAGATAGCAATATTGATTGATTGATTGATTGATTGATTGATTGATTGATTTATTGGCTGCAAAGAAGAAGCAAATATTCTACAAGATTTCGAATTATTCCTTTCTTTTTCTTTTTCGTTTTTTTTGAAGTATTATAATTGAAGAATAGCAATATTGATTGATTGTGAACAGGGAGGAAATGTTTGTATTGATATCTTATCATTTGATCATTTAATCATTTTATCATACTTATAGTGTCTTGAAAGAGCAAAAGATGAATTAGAACGGGAACGTGAACGATTAATTCGAATGACGAAGAAATTAAAGGATGATTTGCAAAGCGTAAAAAAGTTAAACATAGTTATTTTTTAATAATAAACTATAATTAATTAATTGTCTAATTTAGATTGCAACTGCATCATTTATTCTTAAATTAATTTTTATTTATTAAACAATTTATTTATCCATTAATCATTTTTGGATTTCATTCCTTGCAATCCTTTTTTTTTATCCATCATCATCAATTTAATTAATTTAATTTTCACTATGATTGATTTAAATAATTTAATTTAATTAAAATATTCATTTATTTATTTTTTGATCATTTTAAAGTTCCAATTTTTGTGCGTTTTTTTTTTTTAAATTCACCATCGTTAATTTCATTAATTTAATTTTCACCACCATCAATTTCATTAACTTACTTTTCATCATCATTAATTTAAGTGATTCAATTTATTTGCAAAAAAAAAATAAGACGGAAATTTCTCTCTCTTAATAGCAAACATTTTTCAATAGTGAATTGAAAATTACGAATGAAACGAAACGAACATTGGAACAGGAGAAAATTTCTTTAAATGCTAAAACTGAGCATCTTGTCAGTAATATGCAGGTCAGTAATTAATCAAATTAAATTTTATAAAACCAAAAAAAAAGAAAAAGGTCAAATAAAAAGGTGAAAAAAAAAACTTAAAACTTTTATACTTAAAAATTTCCAATAAAATTCATTGCTATTATTATTTTGACAATTTATTTGTTCGAAAAATTTTCAACCAAATGTAAAATAAATGAGCATAAATTTAATCAAATTATATTAAATATCAATCAAATTACATCAGGTGTTAATTAAATTATATTAAGCATTCATTAAATTACATTTAGTAATAATTGGATTATATTAATTATTAATTAACACGATGAAATTGTATTAGCCATAAATTACAAACAATTTTAATTACAAAAAAAAAATTCTTTTTCCTATAAAACTTAAAAAAATTTCAATTTTCCAACAAAAGATATGTATATTATATTAAATGTAAAATAATTAACATATAATATATATATATAACATTATTAATTTTAATAATTTATATATATTTAAAAATTCTGTAAATTTATAATGCACACTTTTTCTCCATAAATTTTATTTGCTTTTTATATTTCTTTTTTTAATTTATTAAAAAAAAGTGTATAAATTTTAATCATTTTAATATACATTGATTAAGCTGGAAAAAGCACAGTGCAGAAAATTTTTAATCAAATTATTTATTTTAATCAAAAAATGAAGTATTCTTTTACTAGTATTAAATTAAACGCAAAAATAATTTTGATTGTAATCAAATATTTTCAAGGAAAAAAAGAAAAAAAGAAACATGAAATTAATTAATTAAAAATAAAAAACATATTTTATTATACTAAAATATTGTTTTTATTATACTAAAATGTTGTTTTTATTATACTAAAATGTTGTTTTTATTATACTAAAATATTATTTGTCCATTGTTTCCTTTTTTTTTCCACACCTTAAAATTTATATTATAATTATAGTAATAGATGAATATGCAATATTATTAATACCGTATAATTTTGTAGTCACTCAATTTGGAAAAAACAAAAATTGAAGAGCAAGTATCAACAATAATTCGAGAACGTGAAAAATTTTTACTTGAAAATCAAAATTTGTCGACTGCGACATGTCAATTGAAAAATCGATTAATGGAAATTGAAACAAAAACGAATTGCATTTTAGCGGAAAAGGAACGTGTTGAAGCAATGTATGATTATAATATCTTTTTTTTTTTTTTGATTCATTTTCTATTCATTATAGATGATAAAAGAAGTTTTTTCATAGAAAAATTAATTAAATTAATTCTATTAGAATTTATTTCAATGAAAAAATTTATTAAATTAATAATTTATTTATATAAATTTAGGCTTCGTTTAAATGAAAAAAAAACAAATGATTTGGAGAAAGAAAGAGAATATTACAATAGTCAAACAATGGAACTTTTAAATTCATTGAAGGTAAAATTTTACCATTTTATTTTAAATAACTTTTTTTTTCTTTGTCCTTTTCGAAAAAGATAGAAATTACCATTTGACCTTTGTTTTTTCTTTTTCTTTTTTTTTAATTTTTAGAAAATATTGTGAAGTAAATTAAATCCATTTCTTAAAATATTATTGAAATGACAAGAAAACAAATGTGTCCAATTTTTAAATGTAATTGACTTTCGCTTCATTATGCATAAGATGGAACATATTGATTTTTTATCGATTTAGAAATTTTCAATTAAATTTTTTCTTCCTATTAAAAGACTTAATAAACTAACGCAATAATTCTATATTTATAATTTCAATTTGTATATTTCTATTTATTAATTTTTTCTTATTACATAATTTCTTAACATTTTCTATTTTTAATTTTACCAAACTATTAAAAAGAAAGACATAAATTTTCAAAAAAAAAAGAAAAAGAGAAAAAAAAAAACTTTTATTCAGGAAGTAAGTGAACAACGTGATATAACAGAAGCTGAATTAAAAGATGAAGTAATGGCACGAATTGGTGCCGAAAAACAACTTCAAGCTGCCGAAAAAGCTCTGGAACATTTAGAAACAGCATTAAAATTAACTGGAGCGCAAATGAGCGAATTACAGGAACATATCATGCCTGATGTTCATAAATTACGAGGTAAAATTATGATAAATAAATTAAAAATAAAATTTCATTTTTCCAAAATTAAATGACAAATGGGACATTTTAGATTTTAATTTTGGATAAGTTCTAGAAATTTTCATTTCAATTATATTAGCTTCTTCTTTTTTTTCCTTTTTTTGAGATCTATTACAAGCTTGAAATTTCAAATTGAAAATTGAAAATGAAAAAACGGAAATCGAAAATGAAAAAAAAAATTTAATTAAGGAAATGGAGTATATTACAGATATTGTTTCTCATGAAATCATCTCATAAAATTAAAAGTATTGTTTTCATTTTTTTTTTAGAATTTTTTGAACAATGTGCTGAAATATCTAAAATGGATGCAAATCGACCTATTATTATGCGAAATGCTATACATGCACGTCGTTCGTTGAGACGTAACAAAACACGTGTACGTGGCTCAATCCGACGTAAACTAGCACCAGCTATCACTATGCAATCGACGTTTACAACAGGATGCGATAATACTGAAATGCCAAATCCGGAAGAACCAATACCAAAAATTGAACCAAATAGTCTAATGCATCTATGAAACATTAAACATATAATTAATGATGTTAATTAGAATCGCTTTTGAAATTCAAAGAAATTAAATGTCGAATAATACTGTATGTAATAAAAGCTGACTGGAATATTGGAATTGAGCAATCAAATAAAAATTATATATGAATAATTAACATGACTCGTCATGTAACGAAAAAAAAAGCAAAAATAATAACAATAATTATAAAAAGAATCATCTGATAAAATAATTAGAAAGCCATAAAGAGGCTATTTTTTTTCTATCGATTAATAATAAGTACGAAGGAATAATTTCAAAAAAAAAAAAAGAAAATCAAACAATGTTAAGGAAAGTAATACATATATCAAACTTGAAATACTCTTTAATGAATAGTTATGATAATTGATAAGATTTTTTTTTAATTTTATAACTTGCTAGCTATTATTTTAATTGAAGGAAGGAATTTAAAATATTTTATTTTTATTTTCTACCTCCTTCAATCTAAATTAGCTATTAATTTCCATGTCTGTATGTATTTATGAAATGAATCATTTATTTGTTTATCCAAATATAATTCTAAATTAAATTTTGCAAGTGTGGAAATACCGAAATAATTGTAAATATGTTAATCGTTTTCAACAATTTCATTTGATTTGTTTCATTTCGCTATATTGGTGAAATGTGAAGAGTTATGAAGGTTTAACAACATATAAAAATAAGAAAATTTATAAGTTCTACGAAAACATCAAAAAATCTAAGATAATGTCAAGTGAAACACACATGATTTTAACTCTCAAAGGTTCGAATGTATCAACATTACAATTTTATAGCTGGCATCATAGCTAAAATCAGGAATGAAACGTCTAATCAGGTATGCAAGCAAACTGATATCACGAGAAGCGTTATATCCAATGATTCGATGATTTCGATAACGCATAAAACTATTCAAAGTTTACATATATTCGTTGTGAAAAATAGAAATAAACTTGAAATATAAATAGTGATGGGAATGAAGTACAATTTAAAAAAATAAAAAAAAAATAAAAATACCACTTAAGAAAATTTCCGAGTAATAAAAAAAGTAAACAAAACCAAGTAAACAAGACAAGTAGAAGTTTTGAAATGTCCTGAAACTTTAAATACTAAGATTTTGAAATACTGTTGGGAAAAGTTGAAAAAAAACGCGCAAAATTTTTTTACTATTAAGGATTAAAAATTTTCGACAATTCCAATCAGAAAATAAAACCTCATTTAACAATGAAGACCGATTTAAAAATCACTTCTTGTAAACTGCACTTTGTTCTCTCGAAATTTGCTGATAAATATCCACCGCTGGTTGCGGTAATGGATAAAGCGATAGTCGAGATTTGAATATACTGATATTATTTATCCGTTCAGCCAACTGCAAAGGGAAACAATATTAATTCTGAACACTGGCAGTGGATTTATGACCCAGGAAATACCAGGAGGACCTGAGAGAAAACGGAACAATTAATAAGAAATTAGTATAAAATAATATTTCCTTACATTTAATGTATGAATTATGTCAGTTATACTTTGGCTGTAAATCCGGTAATGTATAGGTGGACGAAATAGGGTTTACCTGTGCCGCATCACCGGAAGCATCGTGTTCGCGTTTCGCAACTGTGTCTTCAGTTTCGGAATTAGCGTAAACCACTGCACAAAGTTTTCGTCTTTCCAAAGAATTTACCGCAAAATGTTTGTCAAAGTATTCGATGACATTTGCTTTGGTCAATTTGCGTAGTATGGGCACTTCAATATCATCTGAAATTGATTTCATACTGATAAGGTAAACGCTGGGTAAAGGATGGAACTTTAACACCCATCTGCTTCTTCAAACTATTTTGAAAACAAAGCAAGCTCAAAAAATTGATAACTGATAAGTGTCGGTTACAGTGCAGAACTTTTCCAAAATTTATTCAGTTCTTCCAATGAAAGTAAAAAATATTAAATTAAAATTAAGGTACCTCTTTCGAACAAATAAAATCTGCTATCAACTTCAGCCCAATAACGACCCGCTTGAGCTTTCATTGTCTTTGGCTTTTCGAGACGTTTAGTTGCAAGTGCTTCAACATTATCGAGGAATTCACTGTCGGACATTTTTTCGAGATCAGACTAGAAGAACAAATCATATTTTAAGAAAAAATAAGCAGGACCAGAAAATTATTAATACGCAACACTATGATGTAAATTTCTACCCTGAATTTCACAAGGAAATTTTCGATCCTTTCTTCCATAAATTCCGGAACGTGCTGCCCCTGAATCAATAATTCTATTCCTTGAACACCATTATTTCGCCTGGTTCCTGTGTGGACAATATAACCTGAAAAATTTCAAACCATAAATATGCACGTCCTAACTCTTTAAATCTTAAAAGAATTTTTTCATCTCAGACCCGACAAACACAACATCTGCCAATATCCAACCGCACATGAGGAAGTGAAATTGCACATATTATCGGATAAATGAAGAAACCATATTCCTGCTTACCTAACTGTTCAGTTGTTCTCAGTTGATTGAAAGCAGGTTCAGCAGCTAATTGTACGACTAATTCTAACAAAACATTCTCTCGGATATCTTGTAGACCTGTTTGCATAAAATAATTGATGGATGCATTTGGATGTGTTGATTGAAATGCCTTGTACACATATTGGGATCCTGCAATGGAAAAAGATCTTATGTGCCCTTTCAGTTTGAAACTGAATTTTTTCACTTAAGTCTTCAGAAAAAGCAGAAAATACTGAAATATTGATACATAATTTAATATATCGGAAAAATTTTCAATTCTAAAGCATTTCTCTGTTTTGATGCAAAATGTATGTAGTTATCAAAAAATAAATACTCGCATGAAAGTGCAAAATTGAATTAAATGATGCAAATTTTACCTTTTGGAATCTCGTGCTCTCTACATTGATCCAATTCATTACTAAAAAGATGTCGAGTATCCGGAAGTCCTTTGAACTTTGACACAATCTCATCGAGAATTTTGGAAGATTCCTGAAAATCAGTTCGCACAGTGTTCGAATTGCATTCAAAAAAAAAAGAAAAAATTGGAAAAGATAGAGTAGGTCATCGGTTAAACACTTCGGAGGAAAACTAATATAACAAAAAGCTTACTTCTTCAGTGCTATTGCCATAAACAAGCGCTTCAATATGTAAAGCTTGTAGAGATTCACGCGTAAATTTCCGCAACTTTTCAACCTCACAGTCTGAAATACGACAACTTTTTCCATCTTTATTACAATATTTAATAACTTAATAATATTGTTATGTATACATTTGATTTCCAATTCAAAACAAAAAATATTAAAAATAAAAAGGCACAAAATATATACTAACTCTCGGCAACAGCCAATACTTCCTCCTTGCTCCATTGTCGGCAACCAAGCAATAACGTAGTATAGTAGTGAGACTGCATATACGGTTGGCTTTGACGAAAATTTCGCAAATTTCGGCAAAAGGTTTCTTTCAGTACCTTGTAGCGTTCCTTATCTGAATATCACAATCAGTTAACAAACTGAGAGAACAAAATTAACTATCAATAGAGTTTTTAAGATAAACTTGCAGATATTCAACAGCATATCTAGACCAAACTCATGCAAAGACTGATTCAAGCAGAAAATTTTTTCTTTGATTATCTTAATCACCTGATGAAGATGTAATTCGAAATAAAGAATATTTCAGATCACAGCCAAAAAAAAGTGTACAGGTCAAAAATTATTTTCTTCAGAAAATCTGTATCGTGCAAAAAATTAAAAAAAAAAAAAAGAACGAAAACGAGTAAGAGATAACATGGAGAGTAAAGGAAGTCATGTTTTATGTTAATTTTCGCTCTTTATTACCTGGCACAAAAGTTATAAACCGTTGAACCAAATCATTAATGTATTTCGGCTGCTTCTCATCATAACCAGATACATGCAAAGTAATGCCATAAGACTGCAAGTCGAACGATGATTTCAGGCCAGCAAGATGGGCATTGTAAGTTTCCTCACTGATAGCATCCTGAAAATAAATCTCATGTGGATCTATAGATTTCCTTCAAACTTACATAATTTTCAACAAACAGAAATGGTAATTTGAAAAAATGGTCGTCAGTTAATTGTAATTGGAAAAGTTTTAACGAAAAGCAGAGAAAACATCAATTCAAAATTTTTACAAGCACAATAAAATTTCTTGTTGTTGCTAAATGCAAATTATTTTAATGACCATCCCTTATTTCATCATTTCCCATACAAACAAAATAAAATTACCTGTAAACAAACTCCCTTATTTTGCCATTTTCCATATAAACAAAATGAAATTACCTGTAAACAAATGACGAACATTGCAGAGAGATAGGAATTCAACGGATCTGACTGCATCATTGGTGATTTGAACGCTATTCGCGTGCTTAATTTCGGCAGCTTAAAATCATTATCTTGCATAAACCACAACCGACACCAATCGTCATTCAAAACAAGGTATGGTATTTTTCTGGAAATGGCAAATTTTAAGGAAAAAATATTGCCTGAAATTCTAGGAAAAAAATTACATTATTCTTGTAGTAATTTAAACGTTAAATATACCAAATTAGCAATATTACTGCAAACTGAACGGAAAAAATTTATAGTATTTTCCAGCGAAACTAAAAGTACTATCAAAATAATGAAAAACTGAAGAAGGCACCGTTTTTTTATTTATTTCTTCAGTTACTAAGTGGGATTTGGAATATAAAAGGGGAAATTCTGATTTACTTGATTTGCAAGTTAAAATAATTGGTACTTTCTTGTCACCTGATTTCTTCGCGTGGTTTCAGATCAAATTTGGTTGCAATGTACTCATTTTTAGCTGGTAAGCTCAAGAAATCTGGTATCTTCGCTAGTGCGTCGTTGAATTCCGATAAAACCTTCTGCAATAAATTTGTACATCTTGTGAAACTAATCAGGCAAATCATTACAGAAATCACGAATTTTATTGATTAATTTCGCATTCATTTTATTTTGATGTGCAAATTTTCCCCATAAAGATTAAAAATTATTCACTTACTTAATTACAAAATTACAAGTTATCATAAACAAAAGAATGCTACTTTTATAAAACAGGCCGTGCATGACAAACCTTGTCAATTTTTGCAGTATTGTATTCCGTCCCGTACCATTTTTCTTTAATATTATCCTTTTTGCCAGTATATTTTTGTGAAATCACCGCGTAAAACATATTTTCGGGTCTCACTCCTTCGACAAATTCCTTTATCAAATCTGAAACACCCGTTAAAATCAAAGTTATCATAGAATAATAAATTAACTTACAGATAAAAGCATTGAAACAAAACATCTTCACGAGTTTTCATTCTTTTTTTTAAAAAAAAAATCAAGTTTAATATTTTTGAAAATAGTTGAAAACCAGAATACCTGGTTTGTACAAGTCCATCCTATAATCAGCACAGATTACATCTTCGAACGGTATCCGTTGCAATTCTGAGGAAATGTGTGTAACATAATTTAACGGATTTTCTTTGTCCTATAACAACCGTATAAAATATTTAGTGTCAAGAAATAATATTAATGCCTAGTATAAAAAATTTTCGAAATTTCAAACAACAGTAACTGTAATTCACTGCAATTCACTTCTGAGTGATTCATTTCTGAGTGAACTGCAGTTTCCATTACATTTAAGCAATACATTGAAATAGAAATTCGTAAAAAATATTACATCTAAGCAAAACATTCGAATGAAAATTCACAGAAATGGAATAATATACCTTGAAACGAAATTTAATTTCTTGCAACTGCTTCAATTCATCAAAAATCCATTTCAGTGGGCCAGTTTGCTTCACCAAACCGACTTCATTGAACACTAGCTTAACGATATCATCGGTATGTAGTAAACCTTCTAAAAAAAGACAAGCATAAGTTTTTAATTTAAAAGCAAAAATTACAACTCTTAATCCTGGGACATAAATTAATATTTGAATGAAAACAAAATTCTTATATACCCATCAACTTAGCCATATGCGAAATTTGTTTTTAAGTCTATCTTATCCTTAGAGTTCATAGTAAAGAAATTAAAAGACGAACCTTCGCTTAGATCCACTGATATGCTGAAGTTACCAAATCCCCTAGCTAAAAGCCGATCACCAGCTGACAATGAATTAACCCAACCACGTCTTTTGAGCTCAGATAACAATGATCCCGGACCTTCATGACCTATCAAGTGTGCTGAAAAGTGATTTTCATCAGTATCGATACTTCTGATGAGTTACAAAGATTTCTTAGTATGGAACTTGAGCTTTCTAAGTTTTAAGTTTAATACTGCAAGTTAAGTTTAATACTGCAAATTTTTTAATTTTTCTAAGTTTAATACTGCAAATGGTCAAAAACAAGTGCCAGGAAAGAAAATGAACTATTAGAAAACTTTTTTTTTTCTTTTTTTCAGTTTCGTTTGTTAACGGCGACTGCGAAATTAATAAAGGAATCAAGAGCGATCGAAAACTCACAGACATAATGAGCAGGCCAAGACCGGTAATCATCTCGATAATCGCGAATCGGAAATGTCAGAGTTAAATACCTCAGGTCTTTCACAGGTACTAGCTGAAAAAAAAATCTCGGTGGATATACATGATGAATGATCAGAGAAATAATTCTAGCAAAATTCATAAAATGAAAAAATCTTCTGTGATATTTTCACATCGAACCATTAAAGCAAAGTCATGGCTAGAAATACAGCCAAGTAAAAGGAAAACGATAGTTAACGGGACTGAAAAATTTCATTAATTCTTAAAAATCGTTCATTTATGAATATTATGATGATCAGCGAAATAACGAGTCCTACCTCAACTTTAACCCCCAATTGTTCGTCACCATATGGCCCTTCATTCCAGATTTTTCTTGATACATTCTTCTTTTCGATCTCTCCAAAGCTTAGCGATGTAACCATTTGCTCCAGCTGATCCAATGATTCCTTCCCCAAAATGGCAAATGCCATTCTGGAAAAGTTTCGTTCGAATCAATGTTTTTATTTAACATAGTACAGAGTAAACAAGATAGAAGCATGCTATCTAGTGTCAACTAATTTTGAACTGAACTGATGAAGACTGCAGTACGATGATGAAACTTTCCGGAAAATGATATGCAATTTTTTTTCGAGCTTTTTTAATTACTTTAAAAGTGAGTGGCAATCCTAAAAAAAATTCTGTTTTATATATGAAAATTCGGTATTAAAGATATCGAAATAATTCAGTCATATTTTGAATAATGTAATATTTTGAAATCACTTTTCTTGTAGTGATATACTTACATGTCCGAAGAGTAATGTGTTTTGTGGAATTCCAACAGGGCTTTACGTGGCTCAACCCCATTTTTCAATGCTTCAACCATCAGTGTTGTACGATTGCCAGTACCAAATTTGCCATAATCATGTGAAGGTTTTGATAATGATCTACAATAAAACAATAATACAATAAAACGAATTAGACACAAATTCAGTGAAATGAAATTGCAAGGAATACAGTTTGTTTTTCTGTTAAAGTTGATAATAACTACAATAAAACGAATAATTATAACATAGCATTTCTGCCACTATTCTCTTACAGAAGTAATTTTGCTTTAAATTAATATAAGTTCCAGTTCTTGTGACAAAACCCATTGTCCATTATTTTGTTTGTCACAGTGGTCATGCAAAAGAAGCATGAAAAACACTTTGGTGTGCTTCGAAACAGGTTGAAAAAAATTTGAAAAATGAACATCCGTATCCTTTTCCTAAGAAAGATACCATAAACTGTTGATGGTTACGAAAGGGAACTTACAAAAATACGGAATTCAATTCTTTAAGTGTAAAACTGTGTTCCTTTCCACACAACTTGATACAATTAATATGGGTTTACACAGTCAGGTAGCTTACCGTTCAACTTGCAACATGCGCCATTGATCGTTAAAAAGACTATTGGAAAATTCCGAATCAACAGCTAGTACTTCGCGTTCGGTTGCACTTTCCGTAAACTGTGGAGATAGGAAAAACTGAACGAACCTGTCTAGAGCACCCTAAAAATTTGGAAATTTTAAAGGGAAAAAAAAGACAAATATGCGAGTGTTAAAACTGTTGACAACATAAAAGGTATGTGATAAAAGAAAAGTGCAATGATTATCATTCAAAGCAATTTGTCTTTCCACAAATTTCAAATTTTCAAATAATGGCAAAAAACCAGTCACGTTAGGGAAAAAAAAGAAGGCTAAAATGATTGCATTCGTATATCAATCATAAGACGATAGCAATCAAACATTCTAAGCAATTAATTTGCCTGTGCAGAAAACAAAATTTAATTCTTCGCGAAAAAGTAAACGGAAAAGACTCACATGCAGATGTTCAGGAGCAATGTCGAAATGATAATTCGTATGATCAGTAGCTGTATAAGCATTTGTTATTCCACCATGCGATAAAATAAATTTACTATATTCATTCTCTGATGGGTATTTATCAGTACCTAAGAAAAGCATATGTTCGCAAAAATGTGCTAATCCGGGCAAATTCCATGGATCCATTAGATGTCCTGCAATACAAATATCATCGTATAACTGCAGAATTGAATGAAACGAAATATCCACAAAGTTATAGGCATTACTGTCGAACTTATAATGAGGCTTTAAAACTCGAAAAAAAATATCTCCAAACAATATCTGAATAAAACGCAAAACACTTCAGTAGTTTTGGAATATCTCCATGAAATCTTATTCCCTACCACAATCTTGACATTTTTTTCATCGTTTTCGTACTTTGTTGTTCTTCTTTAGCATTAACAAAATGTTACTTTGAAATTGAAATTAATGCTATAAATACCTACCCACATTAACATCCATTGATGCGGCACTCTTATCAGTTTTCGGATCTGAAATTAGAAGAATCCGAAGACCATTTTTCAGTTCCAATCCACGATACTGAAATTCTTTTACTGAATTATTTCTCACAAAATTAACTTAATTTATGCAAATTTATCTGAAAACACTTCCACCAAACAATGGAAAGAGTATTAGACTGAAGCAATTCTCCAGCGATCCATAAATAAATGTTGAAAGTATATAATTTAATTCAAATCACTAACTTCTCGCTTATCCTCCTTTGATTTAATGATAGTATCGTACCGTTGTGCAATCACATCAGCTGGTGAAGTTTTCGACGCAGACATTGATAGTACGGATCGAGTAGGCAAAAGGAGTAAATTCCTGAAACTTGATCATTCCAAAAAAATATAGCAAAGAAACAAAGCGATCACTAAAACGATTTAAGTAGTATATGTGAATAAACTGACAATAAAGGCAATAACTAAATCAGAATGACTATGAAAGCTACATATCGTAAGTTATACATCGTAAACTATACATCGCAATTTTCTTCCATCTTTCATCATACCTCAACAATTATAAAATCAGAAGAAAAAAAAAGGGCCTATTCGACCAATTACAATTACGGCGAATGTCTGAAAGACATTCAACAGAATCATATTACAGGAAAACATTTTTTGCCATTTTAGTGGTGTATAATAAATCAATGTCACCAAACAAAAAAAAAAGAAAAGAATGTAACAAATTAAAAATGCAATAAATACATATCACAAAATATGCATGGAAAGATGAAATTTTCGAAAAATGAAAATTTCAAAGATAACCAAGCATATATATATATATATATATATATATATATATATATATATATATATATATATTATA